GCGCTCCAAACATCCAAACATGGACACACTAGCGAACCATAACCAAAAACCAAGTTTTGGAGGTGACGCAATTTACAAATAGTTGCGAGCGCAAAATTTGTATTTGCACACAAAATTCTACAAATACAAATAACAGTCGCCCGGTGGCAGTAGCTAACAGTATCTTTTGGATACATATTTGTTGAGCAAAGAGGAAAGCAAGTACACGGAGAAAAAAGGGGATTATCTTAGCTCAGTGTTATGATAATCCCAAGCTGAAGTTTAGAATGGCAATGGAATATTATCTGGCTGATCTGGTGGTAGAAATTTAAGATTAATGTGACAATATGATGAACATGATTATGAGACTATGAAATATATTCCATTAGTAATCCTAAAATCATTGTTTTATATAATTCTGGCAGATCTGGTATTATAAATTCAAGATTAACTTGATAATATAATAAATATGATTATGAGAAGATAAAATATATTCTATTTTTAATCTCGAAAACATGTTTTTAAATAATTTTATTACTTACTCGTAGTTCTAAATCACAAAAGCGCTAGTTTATATGGGTCTTTTTTCTTTGTTCCGAAAAAAACATTGTTTTCCTAAGACCTGGACAAGTAAACCCGGACCGCCGTTCAAGTGTCCGTCAACGGATTGAATCGCATCGAATCGCATGTGGCAAGGTGTAATTTACCCTTCAATCAATGCGCAGCAAATCAGTTGGCAATGTGCTGTGCGCAGGCGCACCTCGATGGACATGGGATCCCCTCGGCCCGTGCCGCGCCGCACCGCGCCCCTTCTCTTTTCATTTTCGTATCAGTTGGCAGCACATTTGGGTTAACAATTGGTTAACTGTATACCGGCCATATCGGGGCTTGTGGCTATATTTATATACATACGAACATGTTTGTGTGTGCCGAATGACTAACTGGGCGCAAGGTGGTTTTTATACTCTGTTAAAAAAGCATTAAACAAAAAAACTTGTGTGCAAGTCGGCAATGCCAGAGGAAAGCCAACTACTACTGCCAAAGATACGATTTGGTATTTATGTATACAGCATAAGTGACTAATCGGATTTCAATGAGGTAGTTTGTGCCATATTCGCGAGCTGGTCAATAAATATTATAATACATTTTATAGCAATTTGGAGCCATAAAGGGGCAAGGCATGGAAGTACTACTTACAATTACTTAATTTTAATGGCTTCCCATTTGCTAATAAGTTTATTTTAGGAAACTGCTACTCATATCTAACAATACTTCCTGCAAAACCCCTAAAATAAAATTAATTATTTTTATTTAATTACTTAATTTTAGGTTGCTGCCACATCAAAGCGAATGATTAATTGTTATACTTTTCTGGTTATTTTTTGGAAACCCATTTTATTGTTATATTGTCAGAAATATCGTTTACATTTCCTCATTCGCTGGTCAACTTTAGACCACATTTCTTACGTTAACTGTTTTGGCTGGCCAAGAGTTAACCGAAAAACGGTGAAGGCGAAAAAAATAACAGACAATAAGATGTTGATCATGTTGTAGTTGGCAGGTTAACAAGCAACCCGAGCAGCCTTAGGTGTGTATTTATGTTGAAAATATCTGCGGCGAATTGGTGGTGCTTCCTTAATTTACCATGTTAATTGCTCAAATTAACACGCAGATAAATCGAGAGACAAGTCAACAAACCCGGCCGTCGAGTCAACAACTTGGTTGCGCTTCAAGGCAGCCAAGGAAAAGCGTTTCCTTTTGGCCAACAACCACAAACAATGCGTCCAGTTTGGACAAACATTGTGCAGCAAACCGTTTTCCTTCCACAAACCATTGCCATTCCCATTTTTATTCCAACTTCCCACGTTGCGCGCGGCAGGTAGCCGCAAAAACTTGTAGAACGTGCTGGTTAAAAATGGAAAAATTGGTAAAAATAGCCATGCCAGTTGCAGCAACAAATTTTCAAGTTTAAATCTAAATGTGGCAGTAAATCGTGCCTGGCCGGCAACGGAGATGAAGATACTGTTAAGAGTCCAAGCTCCAAGAAAGCCGGGCTCAAAGAAATTAGAAGCGTGCTGAGGGCAGACTGTCTGGGGATAGTAATCATCGCTGTAATCAGTTTTTTTTTTTTTTTGTGAATGGGGTCACTTTGGTCGAATAATGAACCGAATTTCCACAACATGTTTGTCACACTTTTGACATTTGCACGACTTGCTTGTCTGCAGAAAAAAGAGTTCCCAAAATAAATGAATCGGGAATGAGAATTAAGACAGCGACTGCCATTCACTGCGCACGCAAGCAAAAGCCAAACGAAATGCAGTTCTTCTTGTTTGGCTGTACAATGCGGCGTATGCGCAATGTCTGGTGACAAGCGAGCTGAATTTAATTTACGTAGCTGCGGTGAAATCGAGTGAGTTATTATTTAAACAATTTTTAAAACCTTAACTAACATAAGAAAATATTTTATATATTTAAAAATGATGATCTTGGTATCAAAAAGAAGGTATATCAATATAAAAGTTTATCGCAAAGAATTTCAAATTAATGGAAAATTAACTTGGACGTATTTATGAAGCTATAATATGTTCCAGATACTTTTATAATACAACAATTTATGAAATCTATAGTATACATAAATAACTGAAAGAAATACTGTTTTAGGAGCAATCGAAAAAATCGTTTTATTTATTAAACTATCGATTAATCTCAAACTTCAATCGATAAACTAGTAGCAAGCAGCGATAAACATTGACTTTTAAACTTTAGAGTTTGGAAAGTGGGGGCGCTACTTTTGACGCACTTGGCAAAGTTCACAAGTTTATCGCAAGGAATTTCAAATTAAGGTGAATCAATGGAAAAGTAATCTGGATGTAATTAGGAAGCTATAATATAATGTTCAAGATACTTTTATAGTTTCTGAAATCTATAAAAAAAAGTCATAAAGCAATACTGTTTAAGGAGCAATTGAAGAAATTTGTTTTATTTATTTTACCCTCGATTAATCTTAAATCTCAAACTTTAATCGATAAACTATTAGCAAGCAGCGATAAACATTGACTTTTAAACTTTAGAGTTTGGAAAGTGGGGCGCGACTTTTGACGCACTTGGCAAAGTTCACAAGTGTTCGCAAAAGTTAAGTGTCGTCAAATCGGCAAAGAGTATGAAAAAAAGGCAAGGGAACTATCTACGAGACGAAGAATCAACAGACCGGCATTTGGCTGGTTGTTAAATTTAAAACTTTAATGTCATGCACGAAGGAAAATGTGTGGAAAATGCATTTGCGTGGCCACCACATGGCAACACATACTATATAACACACGAAATCATCGGCTTGTTGAGGAAAATCAGAGGGGAAAAACATAAATAAAAAAATAAAATAAAACGGCAGCGCGAAGCGCGAAAATATCTCAAAACAAACAGATGCAGATGCGGCGAAAAGCGGGCGGAAAAGCCAAGGAAAGTGCACGTAAACAGAGATAGGCAAAACAGCTGAAAAGAGGGGAAAAAAAGAAACAATATTTCCGCATTCCTCGCCCCAGGCAACCGGGCAAACATATTTGACAAAATTCGCTGCACCAATGAGATATTCAACTTTCAGGGTAACTCGCTCATCTAACCCAAATTCGATACCATTTATTTTTTATTATTATATTATTTTTTTAAATTGGCCAAATCAGCAGTAGAGCGGCAAAAAGAAGTTTGGTTCCAGCGAATCTGCAACTCGTTTCGATTGGAAAGTGTTGCCAATTTGCTCAACGACGACGATGGTGAATTTAATTGTGCGCTTTATTAGCGCAATTTATGCCCCAGCCGAGTTGGCTCAATGCTCCCATCGAAAGAAACAGCGGCTCGTGCTCTGCACCTCAACTCCAGTCAACTCAACTCCATTTAGTTTGCCCCGGACTCGATTCAACTCGACTCCACTCTTGATTATTATTTCTCAGTCATTGCAATTTAGTCTTATTTACGGCAATTACGCTCTAAATTCAATTGTTACGAAATTATGATGATTTATACACTCTGACTCCCGACATCCATCTGTGTATCATCTACGTGTGTCCGAGCGATATCCGTGAAACTTTTCAATCCACCCATGGATCAGCGCCATAGAAAGTAGAACAGGGCACGAGAGTGAGAAAAGCCAAGCGAACAATGGCAATGACAAAAACACACGGGCACAAAAGCCAAGCCGAAAATGAAAACTGAAAATGAGCAACAATCAACCAAAAGTTAAATGATTACCCAGTATCTGGTAAATCAGGGCGTAACCTATTCGAAAAAATACATTTAAATTAAAAACCTCCTAAAAACGAAAAAAGCTCAAAATTTAAAGGTGTTCAAAGACTTGTTATATAAAGATTAAACTCAACAATCCCAGAAACATTTTTACTCGGTACTCATCAGTCGAACCAAAAGTCCCCATACACCCTTAAGCTTTATTTTTTTAACGAAAAATCACATGACAATTGCAAACCAAGTTATTATAATATTATTATACGACTTAATTTGCAAATAAATAAAAATAAATTGAAGTATATATAGGCATGTATTATCGCTATTGTGCCATTTCCCAGGGGAGGGGGGCATATATACACATATCTATATGTGTGCGAAATATCACAAGTCAGAAATACAAAGACTAAGACCAACTAAGAGTCGAATGTTAAACAACCATCCAAAGTGCAAATAACAGTATTTTTACTTAGATTTTTTCAGGATCCCAAGGTTAAACCTGGCCTACTATATCTTTACTGCACTCTATTATTCAGACAGCTGTGGCAAATGCATTCGTGTTCTAAGCAAACAAAACAATAATTGCGATGAGTGCAAATGAATGAATCAGACTTCTGAGCGAATGTCAAAACAGAATGGAAATTTCATGGGCTGATATATGGGTGCTCGGCAAAACAAACAATAGACCAGCTACATATATGAACGAAATTGGTTTCGGATGTAGGTTGTGATAAGGTTTTCCAAGGTGTGTTTAAGTGAGGTATCTGATGTACAACAAAAATGAATTTAAAACGGGTGTTTCCCCTTTGATCATAATGGTTTAGCTATACAATTCAGTTTTGGTCTAAATTTTAAGTAATTTCATTTCGATTTCACGAAATTTCTTCAAAATTAGGAAGTACGCTGGAAACCTTTGCCGGAGGACGGTCCTCTGCGATGTGTCTCTATTTCCAACTACCCCATCGATCCTCAGATTTCGCTGCTATGCCCGGGATTGCAAAAAGAAGATGGTGAATTCTTTAGATTTTCGTAAATCAATAACTTTACTAACCAAGCACTGTCCAAGCACAGGAACCAAAACCAAAGTTCCAACTGGACCGAGGACCTTTTCTTTCTCAGCTAGACTACCAGTCCCGTCTGCAGTTCCAAGCACCTGCTTTAAGGTTACCACTCAGCGGTATTATATGCACCATCGGACCCTCATCCAACCGACCTGAAGTTCTCCTGGAGCTCATTCGAGCTGGGATGAGGGTGGTGAGTATAAATATGTCTCACGACAACCACGATTGCCATTGCCAGACGATCCAGGCGGCTCGTAAAGCCATCTCCATGTACGTGGAGCAAACGGGACTACCAAGGACCTTGGCCATAGCTCTGAACACCAGAGGTCCACAGATCAGAACGGGAAAACTTTCCGCCAAAATCGAACTCAATCCCGGTGACAAGATCACCCTGAGCATCAACCAGAATTTGGAGGAGACTTGCTCAAAGAAAAAAATCTACGTAGACCATCAGCCATTACCAAATATCGTTAAGGCGGGAAATCGTATCTTCATCGACAACGGATTAATATCCTTAGTGGTAAAGGAATCCACGGCTGAGGAAGTGATCTGCCAGGTGGAAAGCGGTGGTAAGCTTGGATCCCACAAAGGAATCAATCTGCCGGGTGTTCCAATCGATCTTCCCGCCATAACCGATCAGGATAAGCTGGATCTTAAGTTCGGGACAGATCAGAGGGTGGACATGATCTTCGCGTCGTTCACCCGCGATGCCAAGGCTGTTAGCGAAATTCGGAAGGCACTGGGACCGTCGGGTGAACACATAAAGATCATCTCCAAGATCGAGAACCAACAGGGACTGGCGAACATAGACGAGATTATCCACGAATCCGATGGCATCATGGTGGCCCGTGGTGATTTGGGTTTGGAGATACCCACAGAGGATGTGCCGCTGGCCCAGAAATTAATTGTGGCCAAGTGCAACCAAGTGGGAAAGCCGGTGATCTGTGCCACCCAAATGATGGATTCGATGATATGCAAGCCACGACCATCCCGCGCCGAATCCTCGGATGTAGCCAATGCGATCTTTGATGGTTTTGATGCTTTAATGTTGTCCAGTGAAACGGCCAAGGGAATGTATCCAGTGGAAAGTGTACAGTGCATGGCCAGGATCTGTGCCAAAGTTGAGTCGGTTTTATGGTATGAGAGTGTACAGAACAGCCTTAAGAGTGAAATTCGATTGAGTTCTAGCGATCAAATTTCGGCGGTTACCACGGCGATCACAGATGCGGCTATGGTGGCTCAAGCTCAGGCCATTGTGGTGGCCAGTCCGTGCTCCGTGGTATCCCAGATGATCAGTCACCTGAGGCCACCCTGTCCCATAGTGATGCTCACTGGCTGCCAAAGCGAGGCGGCTCAATCCTCACTCTTCCGAGGAATTTACCCACTCCTCGTGGAGGATATGGTCATCGGTAGTTTGAACTTTCATCGCATCATGCAGTCGGGCCTAATGTTAATGGCCAAGATGGACATCATAGAGCCTGGTCAAAAGGGTACGGTGGTGGTGGTCAATGCCTTATCAGCGGACAAGATCACCTTTCGACTGCTAACCATCCGACAGCCTACCACAGCTGAGAGAGATCAGGAAGAGCTCTGCCGGAAACTGACCCTTCAGCAGCGATGCAAGGAGATGGCTCAAGAGGAGTCCTGCCAAAAGCTCAAGCAGGCGAATAAATGCCGAAGAAAACAGGAGGCGGAGAAATACAATCCGGCTCAAAAGTGTATAAAATCCGAGGAAAAACCAAGAGTCTGTCCAAAGAAAGAGTGTTCGAAGCAGGACGATGAGGCCTTGAAATGCTCCCGGCTTAAAAAGAAAGGCAAGCGCAAGCAGAAGCTGAGAAGAAACGGAGGGAAGAATCTCAAAAGGCGGAAGATTGTCGGAGAAAGCTGGCGGAATGGTGTAAGAAATCCGAGGAGAAGATAGAATGTTTGAAGAAGGACGATAAGTTGAAAAAAGAAAGACAAGCGCAAGCACTAGCTGAGAAGAAACTGAGAGAAGAATCTAAAATAGCGGAAGATTGCCGGAGAAAACGCGAGGCGGAAAAATGCAAGCTTCTCAAAATATGTACCATACCCGTAGATAAACTAGGTGTCTGTCAGAAGAAAGAATCCCCAATAGAAGACGACTGTAAGGAAAGACAAGCTGAAATGAAGCAGAGCGAAGAATCTAAAATGTCCTGGAAAGTGAAACTCGAAAACTGCAAGACAAGGAAACCCGAGAACTGCAAAACTATAAAACTCGAAAACTGCAAAATTATAACACTCGAAAACTGCAAGCAACCTTGCGAAACAAAGAAAAATACTGAACAGACTGAAAAGGTGTGTATGTTTATGCTGCAAGTATGAAGATACAATTGTTTTTATGTCAAGGATAGAATTATCGCCGTAAGAACGTTCTCTATTGATTTATCAGCAGTTTATAAAGGCGTGTTCAAAGCATAAATCATTGGGTACACCAAAGTGAAGGGTTTAACCAAAGCTTAGTTTTCAAAAATCATTTTGTTTAATTTTAGAAACTCATTAGGCCTTAAATGCTATAAATGTAATCATAGAGTTCAGTAAAGTATGGTAGGAAATCTCGAAAGCTTTCGCAATAAGAAAACGTTTCAATTAGTTTTACTCTCCAATTTTTTTCTGCTCTTTTTATATTTCCAGATAAAGCAATTAGCAACGAAAGGAAAACAAAAGTCAAAACAGAACTGGAAAAAAATAAAGTAGTGAAAAAGAAAGGCAACCAATTGGGTTGAGAACTTAATTAGCTAACTTATGGTTGAAACAAGTTGAGTGTTCTGTGTTTTGTTTTTTAATTTAGCTGTAAATATGAAATAAACAAAGCTTTGGCGACAAATTTCACCGAACAAAAAAAAAGGGGGAAAAGCTGAATCAAACAATAACACAGAAAAAGCGTACAAAACGCAGCCAAAAATTAAAAATGCCAACAGAGCAGTGCAAAAGTCAAACAAAGAAGGCAGATACACATACACAAACCCAGTCTACACACAAAGTTTCAGAGTTATAAAGCGAGTGGAATACAATAATAATTGCTATATAGCGAACCGCCTTAACCGGGGAAGTTAAACCGAAAAACCCGCATGGAAATGCCAGAAGTTGAATAATTTCCAGAGGGGTGTGCTTTCAACCGAGTCAAGACCGTGCATAATCAATCCGAAATGAATGACACAAGTGACTCGACTAGAACTCGACTCTAGTATAATAACAGTCTCTTAAGATCTCTAAACGAAGTCCCAGCAGCATGGCTTGCATACAAATTACCGTCTTGTAACAATTAAAAATTAACCAGTAGTTAGTTATCTTCTTAATTAACAAGATAAACATAGTGTGGAGGGAAAGAGAGGCAGCACCGCTGTCTTGGTCATTTTAAACCTTGTCTATGTAATTAGCTAAGTAAATGCAGAAGGTTATAAGGGGGGTGGGAAAAATGGGGTGGGTAGGAAAATTGCAGCGCAAAAAAATGCAGGCAGAAATCGCAGGGTGGTATGGGATCAGTATGTTATTCGTGTTGGGCAAGGTTATTATGGGAATGCGGGTGTATCAGAGGTGGTTGAACTCAGAACTCGAACCTTCAGTACGAAAACTATTATTTACTAGTATTAAACAGAAATGAATACAAAGCAAAGAGTATTATTTATTGGTTAGGCATATACAAACATATGCATTTCATAGAGTGATAAATATTGAATACATTTTTATTATTCCCTTACAGAACCTCAAATATAATTATGGTTTATAATTTTAAATAGAAAATAAATCAATAATTGATATGAACCATGCATATATTGTAAAATGTAATATATTGATACGATAAAGTTCTATGAATAATACCAAGCTATAATTGTTTCCTCATAAGAATTATTTTTAAAAATTTCTGACGCACTGTCATTATCATTTGTGTAGGTTAAAGACAAAGTCTTTGTTTTTTTAATGTATTTTTCTTCTGAGTTTTATTCTCTATTTCCAATTCCATAAAACTTCTAACACAATTTGTCATAAAAGCCTCTTATAAAGCTCTCTGAAGTCAAATCGCAACTTCAAAACGATCGGTTATTAAATCGGATTTAAAAAGATTCCAACTTCCGCTAGCAGTTTGAGAAAACTGACGTGGAAGGAACTCGATTTATCAAAGCGAATTGGGTTATACGAACTATATAGGCTTTAAGATACGTACCATTTATCTAGTTAAATCTCATTTAAAACTGGTCTCGGCTAGAATGTGGAAATCGCTGTACAGCATGCCTGTTGGTCGGTTGTCCGAAAATGAAAATTGATTAATCCAAATGAATGCGGTGCGATGTCTAAGTGGGTTTATTTGGTTTTTAATTTACTGATATTTTCGACTTTGGAATCATTTGATTTCTCTGATATGGTCACAAGTCACTTTTCATTTTCTTTTCCTATTTTTTTTTTGCCAACACACGAAGATAAATATTTTTCGATTTTGCTATGGGGGACTTTCGGGTTGTTGCGTTTAAAATTTCACTTTTAGTGCCGGGGTTTCGTAATACCTGGCTGGGCGTAAAA